AATACCACTGGGGCTTGTGGGTTGAATTTTTGGGGGTTTTGAGTTTAGGAATTTAAGTTGCATCTTACTGTGAGAAAAGAGAAAGCAAAAACAACTGAGAAATGGTATTAGTCCACTAAAAACTCAGAGCCATATGCTGTTATGCCACAATAATAAATAAGAGGCTTGCGTAGGACAGAAAGACACACTGTGACCTCCTTTCCACTAATTATCACAAAGCAATTTTGCTGAATTTTTACACTTTCCTATCTTCACACTTAGTACACTGCACCCGTATAGTTCCCCTCATTATCTAGGCTCAAGGTTGATAACTAATCAGTCCAAGTTCTGATCTGTCTAGGTGTTTCCCATCAAAGTTAGTAGTCACATGCCAGAAGATGAAAGGATTTTCTTTTAAAAAATCCTTTTTAATTTTGTCGCAAGTCAATGCATGGTCTACATATCCTGTGATGTTACTACACAGAATAGGGCAAGACAGGATCCTTTAAGCCTGAGATGCATATAGCAACATTTTAGGCTGTAAATGATTCAGAGGTGTTACAGGAAAGGCATTTCCTGTAAGTAACACTATAAAAAAGTGGTTCTATAAAAGGCATTAACAAAACAACAGAGTGGAAGCGGTTGACCTACTGGGCGGTGTAACATGAAGATGGCATGAAGCCAAGAGCACGAGACAGCTGTGTAGCACATTAGAAAGCAGGACATTGAGCACCAAGATGTGTTTATAAAAACCCAGGCAGAGGTTTGGTTGTGAAGAGGTTCGGTTGTGAAGAACTTCAGCTGCATAGGTGAGAAAGCTAAATGTAGTCTTGTCGACTGAGTAAGCACTAGCTGATGGAGAGGAATTCCAAGACCTGATCTAACACCCTGTAAAGTTAAGGGAGTGCCTATACTGACCAGGCTCCACATTTAGAGGATGAATAGTGAGCCCTGCAGTGAAATCTGACACCAAGAGAGTCAAGTAAACTCTATCCCTATCAATAGAAGTGTTGTTGTTCAATGAAAATGAAAACATGCTGGGGATGTTTCTTACACAAATGCTTGTTACAAAAAGTTTCATGGTCTATCGTGTACATGCACTGAAATATGCAGGCAAACACAGACATTCATTACATAAACATCTTTAAGGTAATGTGGATGCATGCCTAGCTCTGAAGGGTACAGTCTGTGTTTTCTCCACTGACCTAATTCTGATCCATCTATGTTTAATGTAGCCCACCGCAGCAATTCATTTCTTTAGTTGCTAAGTACATGGATAAATGTTGGCTTTTCCTAAATTGCTGCAGAAGGTAAAATCATGATTTTTCAGGAGGAAAAGAGGTTTCTCTTATGTAAACTTATTTTCTTAGCAGGCAATTGAAAACATGTTTTAAATATCTTTGTCTTCTTTTTTTTAAAAAAAAAAAAAAAAAAACAGCAGCTGTTTTTTGGATGAGCTGCACTGTTTATTATTTTCTTAAAATGCCCAAGCCATGAAACTCATTTAACCCCTTGAGGAGTGACACAGAAATGACATGATGTGCATCATACATCAAATAAATGGTCACTCCTGCTGCTCTTTAGACATCTGGGGCTTAATTTGCAATTATTTGCATTCATAAAGCAAAGCTATACAATAGAAATGGGAACACATCTCTTATGTTGATTCAGAATTAATTTTCAAAGGGTGACATGCACCATAAATCCTATTGCGTGATTACTATAAACATGCAAACAAAAGAATGAGGAACAGCGTTGTCTGCTAATGGATGTTCAGTTATGAATTTCAATTGTTACAACATGTGATTAATTTACATGTTCAAATTAAGTCTCCATTTATGCATGTTTAATTATGAGGTATTTAAAAGCATGGATGGGTATGTTTGATCATAAGCAGCATTTAGGAAAAAATTTGGCACTTGTAATTTGTTTGTCCTGGTTTAAAATGTTCTCATTACATCATGGAATGAAAAAGTTAGAGAAAGGAATGTCTCTGTTCCCAGCTAACAATGCACACAAGTCAAGAACTCTTCTCTTTCTAATATTTCCCATAAAGATGTTCATCAGAGATATCTTTTAGTCAAGCAAGTGACAGATGGAATCTATGAAAACAATAGTGTCTTTGGAAAGTCCAGTAGTATACATACTGTGGATACCATCTTTTAATCCCACTTTAGAGCTCCTGCATTTCCGAAAGCTTCAGACACTCCTAACTTTTAGTGGGACTTCCATTTCATGACTCTGTGCCATAGATGAACAGCTCCAGGGACTATGCTACAATTTTCCTAGTAAAACGCAGGGGTCCAACTGCAAAGGAGGGCTTAGGGCTGTGCAAATAACTAGTTTTTCAGTTCGGCTGCCAAGGCAAACAGTTGAAAAAGAATGTTGGTTCAAACTGAACCGAATTCACAATTTTTCCAGGTTTCCACACCAAAACCACTACCATCCCCACCCAGCCCACTGTACTTCCTTTAACATGAAATGTTCCATATGTCTCAAGAGGAAACATTTTTGGCAAATGTAAATATTTGGCAAATGCAAGCATAAAAGGCAAGCAAATATAGGGCAACATTTACGAAGTTGTTGCAAAAGGGTTTTTCTCTGTGACTTAATATACATTTCACTCCTTTTTTATACTGAAGAAGTTTATTCCACACAATGTTTACTATAACAGGGTTTGTCCCAGCTTCCCAAGTGAGTGCCATTAACATCAGGTTGTAGAATCATTCTTCCTCTACTGTTCATTGACTCTCAACTATTATTGAAGTAGTTTCCATAAAGTGGCTTAATGGACTTGGTTCCATTTTGGAGTGATCTGAAGAATAATTGCTTGTACATTCATATGTGGAGTTAAGGACTCAAACTCCTGCCTTGATCAGACAGAGCATTGACTTGAACTCTGATTCAACTTTGTTTAGGTACTGGAGGATTTTGAGGTAGGTTTCCACCTCTTGCATTGGAACCAGTTCCCTTCAAATGTGGTGCTTAAGGGTTCAGCACCAAGACTAAGATATCTTGGATATTAGGAAGATAATAGGTTGGATATTAGGAAGAACTTCTTTACTGAGAGGGTTGTTAGGCATTGTAATGGGCTACCCAGGGAAGTGGTGAAGTCACCATCCCTGGAGGTCTTTGAAAGACATTTAGATGTAAAGCTTAGTGATATGGTTTAGTGGAGGACTTGTTAGTGTTAGGTCAGAGGTTGGACTCAGTGATCTTGAGGTCTCTTCCAACCTAGACAATTCTGTGATTCTGTGATCTTTAAAGCCTAGATATTATCACACTGAGCTAGCAGAGAGGTTACAAGTCCCACAGACAGTTCCTTGGAGGTGAAAAGTGTGAAGAGGAACAAGTGAAATCACATTGTGGTAGACCTCACTGCTGCTAATTGTTCATGTACTGTTCTGAGAGATCTAAATCTTTGGAGCAGAGAAATTTTCTATTATATAAGGATTAAGTTGTGCCAAATGAATTTCATAATGCCAAAAATGACTTTTTTTTTTTTTTTTTGGACACTACAGATTTTTCTCTCATTGTCTAGGCACTACAAGATTTGCACTCACCTATAAGACAGAAAACCATCAATATCCTGACATCAAGAAATGCAAAATAAATAAATAAATAAGTCTGGTAAATGTAATGCCACCCTTTTATAAATAAAAATTCTTAGATGCTATCATATATATACTCATGTAAATATACAAATTATTGGATACTATCACATATATACTCATGGTAATGTACACACTTGAAAATGCTTATATATGTGAAGCTTCAAGGCATCTCGGCTTGGGAGACCAGCTGTCTGATTAACAAAAAAGCCATGGAGAAAATCTTAGTATACAGCAGCCTTCAGGCCATTCCTCTTCATTTCCACAATATATGCCTTTTTCTGCATGTTGCTGCTAGTAGTACAAGGTTGCTGCAAGACAAACCAAAATGTGATTTCTAGTGTCTGAATTCACAATGGTTTGTGAAGGAATGGCCCTTTTGTTTAGCAACCATTATACATCTACTGAGGTGTCATAATGACAGTGAGAGCAGTAGGGAAATATATTGTTAATATATTTAGCAGAAGCAATGATTTCTAATGTGACATAAAAGCATTGCCTAATGTTGCCAGGTAATAGTAATCACTCATACTTGCTAAGTAACTGGATGAATCAGAGCAGTCCCTGCCCCAAAAGACATACATTCTAATTTAATGAATATAGGTATATACCTGAGTTGGTTGAAGTTTTAATTCCAAATCATGCTTTACATATTGTGAGTGTTAGAAGAGAATAAGGGCAGGCCTGGAGAAGAGAAGGCTGCAAGAAGAACTTACAGCAGTCTTCGTTACACAAAGTATGCCTACAGAAAAGCTGGAGAGAAACTCTTTGTCGGGGACCACAGTGATAGGACAAGGGGTAAGGGTTTTAAATTAAAAGCAGATAGATTTAGATTAGATGTTAGGAGGAAATATATCGCTCAAAGGGTGGTGAGGCATTGGAACAGGTTGCCCAGAGAAGTCATGGATGCCGCATCCCTGAAAGTGCTTAAGGCCAGGCTGGATGGGGTTTTGAGCTACCTGATCTAGTGGGTGGTATCCCTGCCTATGGCAGAGGCATTGGAATTAGATGATCTTTAAAGTCCCTTCCAACCTAAGCCATTCTGTGATTCTATGAAAATTGATCATATGCAAAATACTTGCCCAACTTTTCCTATTTTTCTTCTTCCTGAATGAGGAACACAAAATTCAAAAATATTTGGTAAATTGGGATTGGGGTCATGATCCCAAAATATCTGCAAGTTTTAGGAAAAGAGGAACCAGTCTAAAGCCAGCACAAACAGCCCAAACATGTATTCTGACAACATCATCTTTGAATGTAACAAATAACAAGGAGGTGACAGCCTACTTTCAGCATCACAGGTTGGAAGTACAACTGCTAGGAATTTTATGAATTAAAAAAGTTTTCTTCACAAAATACCTTTTAAAAAATGGGGAACTGGATTAACTAAGAAATAACCTTTCTACTTACTTTCTTTTTGGTTTGGATTGAAGCATGCTTTCCTTCCCCTTGTTGCTTTTTTAAGCAATGCTATCAAGCAGTAGAAAATAAAGAAAAAATGAAAATAGTGTTATTTTTTAAAATACTGAAGACATTTTAATTTCTCTTATACTTTTTTTTTTCCTTTGGTCTGGGAGTCTTGGATTAACTGATAATGTCCTGCAGTTATCATTGTAGTGTTGAAGCCTTTATAATATCTATTGCTGTAGGTCAAGTAGATATTTGCAGAAGCTTGTTAGGTTTATTATTAAACAGCAACTAAATGAAAAAAAAAACAAAAAACTATGGCTTTGAAAGAAGACCTGGCATAGAGATAACATTTATGACTGAGTAAATTCCACTTATATTTCTCATATTTCTCTAAGTCATTGTTTTTCTTTTCTTTTTCCATGTTTTTGTGACTTTCAACATACCTTCCACTTCACTTTAAGTATTCAAGACTTATTAGTTAGCTTCTTGACTGATGATGAATTTCAATTTCCAAATTGCTCATGTGCAACCGGTATTCTCACCACTGCTTTGCCTACCACAGAAATGGCTAGGGTCATAGTTTACAGCAGGCAATATAAGAACAGGAATGCACAGAATTTCAGCCATTGGCCATGTGTCACAAACAGCTTCACTCATTGAGCTACACCAAATAAAGATAAACAAGCTCTTAGTGTATTCAGCAACAGCAATTAGGCTAGTTACAATACCATGCAATAATATTTCTTGATCAGGGCTACCTTGTTCAGCACCATCTGAAGACACTGTGCTTCTCACTGAACTATGGCACACTGACCTCCTAAAAAAAAAAAAAAAAAAAAAAAAAAAAAAAAAAAAAAAACAGAACATGAAAATGTCTTAAAATGCAGCTGGATCACTCAGAGCCAGAGTAATACATTCAGTGAGCATTACAAGAGCTCTAGCTTGCACTGTGGGAGGGTATTGGTAGGAGCTTCTAATGTTATCTAAGGAAAAGGGTTGTTTATATAATTTGAGCACAACTCTTCATTCATTCTGTTTGGATTTTTAACAGTTGCATTGCTCGTTCAATTAGGAGATCATCAGAAAATTGCAATATTATGGACATTTTCAAACATTTCACATATTTTTGTGTCAGAACTGTGGTGGGTCACATGACATGCAGCTGTGTTAACATATTTAGGGTTTGGATACTTACAAGCTCTTGCTTTCTGGAGTATTATTTTTCTACTTGTTTACATTTGAGAATTACTGGATTTTTTTTTTTTTTTTTAACCACAAGGTTAGAATTTATGGGAAAAAATTAAGCAATAAATAGGTACAGTGTCTTAACTTCATTTTTCATGTCCTGCCTGCCAGCAGAAGGATTAGGGAGACAAAGCTGGTTTTCTTCTGTGAAACTGCAACTAGTCCAGTCACAAGCTCACAAACACTCCCTTCCATGTCAGCTATATTTTGACCACACGAGTGTGATTTAGAGATTATGGAAGTTACAGAAACACATGGCAAAAAGCTCTCAGCAGTCTCACTTATGCATCAGCAGGAAGAGCTTCCAAGGGACCTCTCCATCCCTGCAGTGCTGAAAAACTTCCAGGGAAATCTTCCTGGATACTGATGATCTTGTTTAATGCTGGGAAAACTATTATTCTCAGCCAGTTATTTCAATATGAGAAAGTACCTGTTCCCAGAAAAATCAGTCATAAACACAAAGCTTTACCTTCAAAACACAAAACTTTATCTGCATAAATTCTGGTAACAAATACAAGTCTGTACAAGCAGATCACAGACACACTTCATCACTTAATCATAGAGACAGATGAATAGACCTCACAATTCTTTCTAAAGGTGCATGACAGCGATCATAAATAAAGTAAAAGTTGCGGTATCTTATTCGAGGCTCCTTCATCCCTTTTTAAGTCTACAGCTTTTTAAAAATGCCAGCAGTCAAATATCAAACATGATTGGTACTGTATGGAAGCTGGTAACATGACTTTTAAAGATAAATTTGCAATTAGATATATAAAGACAATGGTTATACTGTCTGAGAAAATTATAACACCTCTTAATGGGGAAATTTTCAATGGAATTTTTTCATAAAGATCATTGAAAGTGATCTAATAAAAACAAAATGAGTCATTCAGCTGGCTGCAGGTAGGTCAATTGACAGTTCCTCAAAATCAGTGCTGCAAAGTTTGTAGAACTCAAAGTACTAGCTCTTTACATTCAAAACAGTGATAGAAAACTCTATGGTTAGAGGACTAAGATGGGTAAGTAGGTCACTTCCAGTCTCATAGCAAAGTCTTCAGCACAGACTCAAGGAATATATTCTGCCACTCCTGTTGCTACAGATTTACAGGTATAGCTTATACCTTCCCATCCAGACTTAAGACACACTTCAGCATACAAAAATCACAGTCAAATGGCATCCTCAAAGCAATTGCAGAGAATAATAAATATATATATATATTGCTGAAAATATTCAGGTCACTACCTAAAGCCTTATCTGAGCTTAAGGGGAGGTACACATAATTGTTCTTAAAACCATTTTTACTGACAATAAGAAGCATATTTCTATTATAGAATAAACTACTTGCATCAGTTAATCTATTCCTGAACACTTAGAAGCACATAGAGGAAGTCAACTCAAGACTAGAGTATAATTCTGGCCACCTATTAACTTGCATATGTTTCAGCTACCTCATTTCTGCTTAAATACCATAACAAGGTAACTATTGTATACTCACTAACTTGCTTTAGGAAAGGAAAAAAAAACTACAAATAGTACAAAAATTTCACAAATTGTCAAAGAATACCAAGCGTACAGGAGAGGCTCTGAGTAACTTTGTGATGTGTTTCTCTTGTCTTTGATGTATTGATCTGGCATAAAGTTTCCATTGTCAGAGAGTGCCGCAGTTCTCCAAAAGCTGATAAACACTCAAACATTCTGTTCTGCATGGAGGAAATTCCTACGGTTCCAAGTTAGTCTTCATTCTAAACAAGACATCTCAAATTTTCCTGGAAGAAGGAAATTTCAACACACTCGAATAAAAAAATAAAAATAATAATTAAAATAAATAAATAAATAAAACATTTCATTGTTTAGTTGGTGTTTAGTTGGTTGTATTTTTTCCCAAAAAGAAATTGGGTAACAAGATGCTCCAGTGGAATCCTGAGATTGCCCCGAGACCTAGAAGTGCTTGAGGAGTACCCCTTGGGACTTTGCCATATCCAGTGAGAGCAGATTTTCAACATCCTCTGAAGTAGAACTCTTTCTGCTACAAACCCATTTGGTTTCACACACAGGAAGTTTTATGCACTACAGAATCTCAATATTGGTTGGGTTTTGCTCATACATATAAGGTAGAACATGCATTTGGGCTCTACTTTTTGCCATATACCATCTTGTTTATAATTTTGTTTCTCATCTCCAATACAGTACTCTCTGCCTGCACAAAACCTTGTAAAGAACTAGTTGTTAACCAGATATAACCAACAGAAATGTTTGTGGGTATTTTTTGTTTGTTTGTTCGTGTTGTTTTTTTTCTTAGCCAATGTAAAGATCAGTCTAGTCTTCCCTTCAGCTTCAGTAATAACTAATAACTTGGTTAAAAAATAAATAAATAAATAAATAACCACATAATTGTAATTTCACATGAATGTAGGCTGAACTAGTTCACTGACAAATACAAAATCTCCATCAGGTTCAAAATTTTGCCATCAGATATCATCTTGGCACAGAGATGTGTGCATAAGTTCCTGTACTTTTTTCCTATGTAGTCTGTCTCCTCCTACTCCTGGTGAAACTTCTATTTATATTTAAATGTGTTGTGGGGTTCTTTTTGTTTTTGTTGTTTTTGAAGAGAAGCCTATAAAATCAGAGCTATAATACCTGAAGACCATATAATAGTGGCTTGTAGCTGCACCTCTCATCCCAATCCAAGGGGATGACCAGCAAGACATAAGGGATAAACCCCTTCAACACATATTTTCTGATTGTGTATCCTAAAAGGGTAGCCTTTATTACTACTACAACAACCATGCATCTCTGATCAGGTTCTGATGGTCCTGTACTGGCAGAATTCCTATTACACACTCAGCTGTGTGGTTACATTGAATTTGTTTCTGCTTTGCACTTCTGCTTCTGCTTATTGCATGATAAAGGTCCAGATGCCTGTTCTGAATCTGAGCAGACAGGAAAACAACACCTTCCCCTAATACCAGGGGGGAATAACCATAATGACAGTGAAAGAGCCAGGAGCTGCCACAGGAACTGGAGTCATAAGTAGGAGCAAGGAACCCAGACAAACACAGAGGAAACAAGGCACAGAGAAGTATGAACAGGAAGAGCATGATGAAATTAGAGGAAGGCCAAATGAACTGTAGCATTATCCAGAATGACTAGTTTCTTTTCAGAAAGAATAAATAAATACTTGTCACAGTAAAGATTGATGGAAGATGCCTGAAATATTTGCTTTCCTGATAGTCCTACCCAGCATTCACCATAGAATAGGAAGAGTGAAAAAACATGACTTCAAACAGACAACATGACCACAGATGGGAAGCAAAGAAGGAAGCAGCTGTAAACAGAAGGGATGTGTCCAAAAGGAAGCTTTTTTATCCAGAAATGGGTCTTTCTCAGAAAGTGTTTGAAAACCTTGCAGCACACTGAAATGATTTAACCCATCCCAGGCATGTCTAATGGTCTACACAAACCAGTGGACTTCCTGGGGCTATGGCAGGTCATACAATCTCAGTCCTATTCACTTTGAATGAGGCAAATTACAGAAAGCAGCCTGTCTGATGCAGGTGCCAGAAATATACCCTCTGAATGCCAAGTGCCAAAACAAATGTCTGGGTAAGTGTCCAAACTCATTCTTTTCTGTCCTATATTAAATCAATATGCAACATTCTTTTCTATACTACCCACTAGCCAACTTGAAGTCAACTCAGTGTCAATATAGGTTAAAAGCTTTGGAAAAACCACCTATCTACAGATTGCAAGATGAGCCATGGCTTACAAAGTCTGTGTACATTTTGATTTGCTTTCAGGAATACAGCCTACTGGAGTCAGTCACCAGAAACAAATTAGTCTGGGTTTTGCAAGCCATTATCTTCACTGAAGATTAAAGTGTTTACAATGTATTCAAGTCTGCCAGTCAATATTCTCCTCTGTGATATACCTTCAGGGAATTGCATAATTATCACCTAGATTCACCATCTCCTGGAAAGCAAGGATTCCTGTTTCACCTGCAAGGCCTACACCTATTAATGTATCATCTACAATGGGAGAATAAAGTCAAGCCAGAAACAATAAAGCACTATCTTATATCAACAGACAGTCTACACTGGTTCAGAGACCAAGTACTGAGCATTTCCATTGCATTAAATGAATCAAATACTCACAAGTCACAACATATGCACAGGAAATCAGCCAACACACTAGTAAACACACAATTGGCAATGCATACTGCCTCAACGTATCAGCTATACTACAGCTTCCTGCACTCATACCTATAGTCTATTCCTCTAGGAGGCACTATCGAACTACAGTCAAGGGCACCTAAGGCATTTAGAAAGGCAGCCACAGCCATAAATCCTCTTTTCACATGTTGTTGTTCGTCTGCTCTCTATGAGGAGATGATTTATTTCTGTGGTAGAGAGCTACTCAAAGGAAAGCCTCAAAACATCCGAACAAGGATAAGTGTGACATATGTGTTATGTCAGCCACTACCCATTAGAAGGCCTATTTCCTAGAACTGACATAGATGCAAGTATTTTCTGTAAAACAGTCAAAGTGCTGAAACCTTCTCTGATATTATGAAGGTCATTGTGAACTAGGAAATGCAACTTCCACAGATCTTTTTGTTTAGTCTAATTTTACAGAACATTCTTCCTGAAACATGTCAAGTCATGTCAGGACACATCATGTCATATACACAATACACATCTCATGTCATATATATCCTCTATCTCACTAAACTGGGCCAAGATTTTCTGTACTTTCTTGATTCTTCGTGACATCCAGCCAATATAGCCGTTAAAAAAGGATTCCCACGGACAATAATTCTCTTTCCACAATGAATCAGCAGTGCTTATTCTCTGCAAACCAGAATCCTCTGGTATAATTGGAAGGATTCTGCAGAAGAGCAGTATGAGACCTCTTCTCTTCAAATAGTATGGGTAGCAAAGCTCCATCTTTGTTCAGTTGAACTGATTTGGTGCAGAACTGGAGCAACATAGTGGTGAGTCAAGCTCACTATGCTTGCCCATGGAGCATTTCATTGTGTTCTTTTTGTTTGTGGTTCATGCACATAATCTAAAAGGTCATTCTACACAGAAAGCAGTTGTTTTGCTTTTTCTAGTGGAAAAACAATTCCCCATCTCTCAATCCATAACAATAAAAAAAAAAAAGAACAACAAAACCCCACCCACATGTAAGAACCAGAAGAACATCCCATTGCACAACATCTCCCCATCTCATAGAGGCCAACACTTCCCAACTTTCCCTCATTATCTGTTCAAGAAGTTGGGCTGTAAAACATGCCCTGAAGGTGAATAACTCCAAGAGTTCTTGGTCCTCTGCTTGATCCAAGCAATTACTGTGACTCATTGTTCTTATCTTATTTCTTGAATGACTTTAGTTTAAGGTCAATATTACAAGGAGGTTGTCATGCTTGGACATTAAATGATACACAGAAAACAGATGTTAACAGGTGCCCGTATACTACTCCTAATTGCCACTGGACTTACTGCACGTTATGGTACAGATAAAGTTGTACTCTGGCCTGATTAATTTGCCTTTAACAATTCCTTTTCAAAGTTGTTCTGCTGGATTTTTATTTTTTATTGAAAGTGGAGATAGTCAATATTACATTATGGCTTTTTTTGTAAAAAGGTCAAATATGCATAAAACAGCTACTTCAATTGAAAAATGAAAATCACTTAATTGAGACCCAAAAGAAAATCTCAATACCTTTAAAAATATATATATTTGACAGTTTTATTGTGCGGTTTTTCTTCTGTTCTGTTTATGTTTTTAACACAAAGTTAGTCCAAGGTCTTTCAAAAGAGAAAGAACAGTATTATCTGAAGATAAGATGAAAAAAAAAAAAAAAAAGTCTAATTTTTGATCAGCTCAGGAGTAAAATTTGTATGTTTTCACTTCTTCCCCCCAGGCCTTCCATTTTTGACACTAATAGAGCTGAGATACAGCACTAGCAGTCAAGCTTAAATCTCTTTGGTATGACAACTTGAGTCTTCATCAAAACACTATCAAAGCCAGCACTATGCCTCCTGTGAGGGAACTCACAGGAGACAGAGTCCAAGGCGAAGCCCAAACACAGCATGGAGATGGCTCTGTACTAGAGGGTTGAATTACTGCTTATTCACACAGAATTCTGCAGTCCATTCATTGCATGTCTGTCTCACTTTCCTCCATCAGGGGATTGCTTTGCAGTGACATAAATAAAGCTCCTGAACTCTTCACAGCAAATCAAAAATGGAGACAGCTTAAGGCATATAATTTGGGTTATGATTTGCAATATTCATTAAGAGATCAGCCAATTTTGGCAAAGAAAAAAATGCCCTGAGCTACGATAATGAATACATGGTTTGTTAAGGCAACAAGACTGATGGTCTCATCCATAATGTCTGACAGTGGCTGCCTTTATATGGTACCTTGTTTTGATTTTCATATCAATAATTACATTATGCACCTCAAAACATCTGGCTGACTGGCCGACTTGATGTATGTTAAAACCATCCAGTCTGTGGATATGCATTGGAATAGGAGCTATTACAGGATCACATAACAGATGTGGGAAGCAGTAATGATTCTTCAAAATTCTGTGCTACACTAGGGCCAGAGAGCATTCACTGTGGTCCCTTCTGCCCTTAGAAGATATGACTTGAATATGTGAGCTGTCTTCCAACTCCTCTGCAAAAACTCCTCTTTATGTTTTTTTGTTTTTTTTTCTAAAAGCTTTCCCAAGGCAGAGAGTCAACACTTGAGTAGC